ATCGCTTATTGAAATGCATAGTATGCATATTTAGGGGTACTATGTCTGTGTAAAAATGAAATTATAACATGTTCCCCATTTTATTTGTTGTGGAACAAAATCTATATCTATATCTATCTTCTATATCTATACTACTCTAAAAGGACGAGTGTTTTTGTAAAAATATTAACTACCTAAAATAACCTTACTTTGACATATTTTTAATGACAAATTAGTAATACACTAATACATATTTTATTTTATATTTTTAATTAAAAAATAAATTACCTAAAAAACCCTTAATTTAACATGTTTTTAATGGAAAATTAATAATACACTAATACGCATCATATCTTATATTTTTAATTAATAACTAATGCTTAATTAATTATATACAAACACATGAACAATACATTTCACATCTCCTAAAAAATCAAACTCAATATTCTCGCACCATTATTTCTCACGAAATGGCTTTCTTCCACATATCTCCCAAAAATCAACCCAACGTCAACCTAAACAACAAAGTTTTGAAAAAATATAGAATTGTTGTTTTAAAAAAATCCCTGTTTTTAATATAATTTTATACATTATCTGACAAACTAGAATAGTTGAACAATTCATTTAGCTACTTCATTATTTAAGAAAAGTAAACTCTTATATTTAGAATCGGAATAGAAATTTCACTTTAGTCTTACTGGATTAAATTTTGATCCCACAAAAATCGTCATTTGTTTATTTGTTTGTTTTTTCCAATTTTAGTCACAAAGTGAATATAATTAACAAATTATCACTTGACCATTAGATGGTTAATATCAAGGTGAGTAATATTTTAATTATTAACACTTAAAATATATGAATTTTATATTCAAGAATTAAGTAAAATATATCATGAGATTATAATTATTATTATTTTATTGAGCCACTGATTTTCAAGATGTGTGGGAATAAAAGAACAATATGAAAGTAAAAAATTATTAAATCTAATGAATAACATTAAAAATATAATTAAGTTGTAAGACTTACTAATAAATATGAAAATAAATAATAAATAAAAATTTTATAATTAATAAAAGTAAATATAAAACTTAAAAAACTTATACTTATCGATGTAAATGAATCGAATTGTTAATTGTTACTTCTTTTTAATTTTTGGTGCTTATTAGTTTTATGTGTAACTTTTAGGTAATAGATAATAGTTATTTGTACTTTTATCCATGTAGGTTAGAAAATTTAATATTTGAAAAAAATGATTATTTTAATTTTAAATAACTTTTTATTTGCTATTAGTTTTTTTTAATATAATATATAAATATCATATTACAATATAAAATAATAATTATTTATACCTGACCATTAGATGGTTAATATCAAGGTGAGTAATATTTTAATTATTAACACTTAAAATGTACAAATTTTACATTAAATAATTAAGTAAAATATATCATGAGATTTTAATTATTATTATTTTATTTGAGCCACTTATTTTCAAGATGTGTGCTAAATAAAAGAACAATATGAAAGTAAAAAAATATTAAATATGATGAATAATTTAAAAATATAATTAAGTTGTAAGACTTACTAATAAATATGAAAACAAATAATAAATAAAAAATTTATAATTAATAAAAGTAAATATAAAACTTTTAAACTTATACTTATCGATGTAAATGAATTGAATTGTTTATTTCTTTTTATTTTTTTTGTGCTTATTAGTTCTATGTGTAACTTTTAGGTGATAGATAATAATTATTTATACTTTTATCCATATAGGTTGGAAATTTTAATATTTAAAAAAATGATTATTTTAATTTTAAATATCTTTTTATTTGCTATTAGTCTTTTAAATATAATATTTATCATATTACAATATAAAATAATAATTATTTTCTTTATTTAATATTTAATACGTAAAAGGTTGTAATTCAATTGAGAAATTGATAGGTAATCTTGAGTTAAAATAACGAGTGATTTCTAAAAAGTTATATGGACTAAAAAGTTAATATTTTTAATATATTCTTAATAAAAAAAATTGGAAACGCAATTACTTAATAAAAACACTACAACATAAAAATTTTAATGTTTAAAAGGAAATGCAAAAAATCAAATGCTATATTGCATTGAAAATCCAACGATAAGGTGTTCCACTAAAAATTCCAAAGTATATTTCATTTTGTATAGCTTTCATTGGAAAATATCACTGGCTATTCCAACATAGATCAAATTAAATTAATGGAATTTTAGTGGATTAAATGATTCCAATTACCATTATTTATTGTTGTGTGAATTCGTATAATTTATTTTTTCGAAACATATTTCTACCGTTGGAAAATTTTTCATTGGAATTGTAAAAAAATCAATGAAAGTTGCATTGGAAAGCTAATTGCAGTGGTAGATAAAGACAATTTCAAATTGGGGACACTATTTACCTAATAGAAAAATTATACGTTCAAAATAACATAATGTCATTACAATATATAAATTACTCTTTTTATAATTTGTCATCTTTCTCATCTGTAATACATATTTAGCAAATCTATACAGTTACAATAAGTTAAAAGTATTTATAAGAAACACATAATTTTTCTCAACTAAAAATAAGCAAATCATGAAAATAATATATCTTTTAAAATCTGATGAACAAAAAATCTATGTTGCAGTATAGATGACTCAACAATATTATTGATTAATTTATAAATTATGACTAATTAATTATAATATTAATGAGAAAAATGTAATTGTATATTATATAATATTAAGATATACAAATAGATGATATATTAACACATATGACCAAAATCATATATTCTTTAAGAATCTTATGAACAAAAAATCTATGTTGTAGTATAGTTGACTCGACAATAGTGTTGATGAATTTATAAGTTATGAATAATTGATTATAATATTAAACAAAAAACTGTAATTTTATATAATATAATATTAAGATATACAAATAATTGATATATTAATACATATGACCGAGAAAGTTCTATACATAATATTATGAATTTTTAAGCAAATACAAAAATTAAAAACATATGAAAGAACAATACAAAATATAAAAATATTAAATCTGACAAATGATATTAATAATTACTAAGTTGTAACACGTACTAATAAACATTAAAAATAATAAGTAAATATGTCATGATTAATAAAAGTAAACATAAACCTTTTAAAACTTATATTTATCGATATAAATGAGCAAGGTTGTTAAATGCTTGTTAATTTTTGTACTTATTAATTCTATGTGTAAGTTTTAGGTGATATACAATAGTTATTTTTACCTTTATCCATGTAGGTTAGAAAAAAAAAACACTTGATTACTCTAATTTTAAATTACTTTTTATTTGCTATTAGCTTTTTTACATATAATATATATATATATATATATCATATTAAATATATAAATAATAATTATTTTAATTATTTAACATTTAATATGTAATAAATGTAACTCAATTGGGAATATAATAGGTAATCTTGAGATAAAATAATGAGTTACTTTAAAAAATTATATGAATTAAAAAGTTTAAGAAGAAACATTGTAAACACAATTACTCAATAACTACTATCTAAAATATAATGTTTAAGAAGGAATACAAAAAAAGTTGTTATATTGCAATGGAAAATGCATCAATAAGATATTTCAATGAAAATTCCAACGAATATTTCATTGATATAGCTTTTATTGGAAAATTTCATTAACTATTCCAACAGAGATCAAATTAAATTATATTGAAAATTTTGTGAATTAAATGATTCCAATTACTATAATTGATTTTTTTTTTGAATTATTGTTGAATTTGGATCATATTTCGACCATTGAAAAAACTGTCATTGAAATTGTAAAATAATTAATAGAAGTTCCAATGAAAAACTAATTGCAGTGGCGGATGCAAAATAATTTTTTATTGGGTCACTATATGATTAATAGAAAAAGTATACCATCAAAATAACATAATGCCATTACATTATATAAATTATACTTTACATAATTTTTTCATGTTTCTC